CATGGGATTTGAGCTAAATACCCTTTGTTATATGTTATGCAAAATTTAGAAAATCAATTCTAAATTAATGTAGGATTTCAAAAATTAAGTAAACTAAATATTTGAAATCATTAATTTGGATCTAACATTTTAAAAAATCGGATATATTGTTAGATTAGATTATGCATAATTTAGAATAAGTATTATGCTTTTTCATAATTCAGTAAAATTATTGATTTCCCTTCTTAACACCTTAGCATTTTTCTAATGAATTTTTTTTGTTCATGATGCATATCCACGTAATTTGTGGCGTATGGAGATCGTTTTAAAATAAAAAGTGAAGATTTATGGTTCATGAAAAAAAACGTGTGAGATTACTTACTTTGCAATCCAATACAATTCTTGAAGAGTTCAAGATATTGGTTCTAGGAGAATACAAAAATTTGTTGGGTATTTTAATTTAAAAGAAGAATAAAATATGTTTGTGCGTGACGTTTAAACCTAGAATTTCATATTTTCTCATTTTGTTTTTTTCATTGATAACTATCAGTGTTCCACTTCTTTATCATTTGCGGAAGACTTTAAAGAACGGTTTTTAATGGAGACTAGATACCTATCGAACCAAAAAAATGGCAGTTCACTTTATATGTCATCTAATAATTAAAATTCCTTCAAAGTTAAATAGAGTTTGTGAAGGAAGAAGTGCACGTAATCCTCATGATTACATAATGAGTGACATGAAGAAGAAGAAACGTGGAATATACAAAGAAAATTTGAAATAAATAAATTTAATTTCCAAAAACAATTTTATAATTCTAAAAATTAGGGGCATAATAGGATTTTAATTATTACAAAAGTTTAAATCACCGAACCTCAAAAACAAAGGTATAGATAGACAAACTAAAAAAAATGTCCTTTATTTGAAAATTCACATTTATGTCTAAACTATCCTATTAAATTTAAAAAATATAATTTTTTTCAATATTTTTTTGTGAAACATGTGAAAAACAAAGAAATAAGATTTTTGATGAAAAGTCCAATTGTTTTTTGTTAATCGATAGATTTATAAAATTTGTTATACTTCGCTCGAAAGACACTTTCTACATTTATACATGTTCTAAAACATACAAATTTTGCGATCTAAA